ATTGTTTTCATGCTTTTTTGCTTTATTGCTGCAGCAACCTTCAGAGAGTGAATTCAAAGAACAACCAAGCAAGGAGAAGCCCACTACTATTCTAGAGAGCATGAAAGAGGAACCTGGGTGGCCATCTTTTGGCCAACTTGTCTTGGATCTGTCCAAGCATGCAATTGAAGCAATGCCCAGCATGTTCCTATATTTTGTCCCCTCTCGTTTCCGATCAAATGGCCCAGAGAAATGTCTTACACCGATGAAGGATTCTCGTAGGATGCCTGAAGATGAAGCCCCTCCTCCATTAGTTCAAAGGCAGACCACTCCAGCTCCTGTTTCTGAAACCCGGCAGACTCATGCAATTAAAATAAGTGATAAGCACTCGGAAATGAAGCCTTTGAAAATAAAATCAAGTAGTTTTATGGATCCTTCTTTGTCTAGCAAGCATCGTTTGTCCAAACGACAAGAATGTGCAGAATTCTATGGGCCAGGTGAGGTTCCTTCTTACAGTAGGTCTAAAACTCAGAAGGAAAGAACAAGACATCGTATCCATGATAAAACAGGTGAGGTGGTTTTTGGAGCAGGTGGGACAGGTCAAAAACCTGTCGAGACCAAGCTGGTAGATTATGATAACTCAAAGTTTGACCATGACAATATGAGGAGGAAGTATGGATCCAGTGATTCATTTCGATTCTGAAGTCTGAACTAATTGCAACTATTGATGACAGGCTTGTCCAGCTACTGATTTTAACCCTCCTTTATGGGTATACATTCTTCATCTTGAATACATATTTCTCTTTCAGGTAGTCTGTAACTGAATCATATATGTATTAGCAGGAATTTGCACTTTAGAGATCTACACAGATGAGAATAGCACCGGTTATTTCTTGGCAAGCTGCTGTGCATGTGTAAGGTTCTCTATTACCTACATATAACTGAAAATACGAAGACTTGTGTCTAGTACTTTAGAAGGAATCTGATCATTTACTAAAAGCATAGTGGTTAAGAGACTCGTTATGCAGAGAAGTAGATTTTGTGTACACTTGTTTTTGTTTTGTTAATGCAGACAACCCTGTCTTGTAGAAGCAAAATGCGAATGTAGTTGCGAAAGTTAAAGCAGTTTTATTGTAAATGTGCATTACCGTTAATCTTAGGTTGCTTTTGATGTCTTCCCTTGTGATTTCAATAGAATCTGATTCCCATCAATCACAGCCTCAAAAAGAACCCATCTCTTCTGGATCGAATGACATGATTCTTCAGTGGAATCAACTATTCTACTCCACTGCAAGGCATTAAAAGCTGCTTTACAGATAACCAATGCATAGCCTTCACCAGAAAAAAAACTCACAGATAACCAATGCATAGCCTTCACCAGAAGAAAAACTCGTTGTTCGCTCGGATTATTTGATAGCTAAAACAAGAAATATAACAAATAAGGGAACTTCAATTAGGGGGAGAAAAAATCCAGGGGCGAGAAAAAATCCAAGATCGATTCAAAACTATAATGCTTTGTTTAGGTTATTTATTTATTTATTTATTTGATTTGGATTAAATTCGAATATTAAATGTATTTATTAGATTTTGATCAAGAAGTAAAAATTAAAAAACTCAAATTAAACTAAATTATATATTTTTATTAGCTTATATATATTTTAAATTTTTATAAAATAAAAAATATTATTTTATATCTAAATCTATTTAAATATGAGGATAATATCACGAATAACTTTGAACTATAATAAAATATTTAATGTGATATTTGAACTTTAAAAATTTTTAATATAATATATAAATTATGAATTTATTGACTGATGTAGATTTGAAAAATTATTTATCTTCTACATGTCATCATTTAAAATGAATTATGTTAGAAGTAATTATCATATTAATTAATAAATTTATAGTGTAAGTAATACATTAGAGAATTTTAAAATTTATATCACATTAAATATTTCATTATAGATCATGAGCCATTTGTGACATTAACACTTAAATATATTAAAAATCATATTAAAATAATATATAAAAATTTAAATTTAAAAAACAGATGCATCAAACTTAACAAAACTAGTAGAATTTAATTTAGATTAAATTGATTTAAAAAAATAGATTTAATTTATATCAAATATTAAAAATTTATAATATTGTATATTATCTAAAAAAATTAAATCAAATTTGATCATTATCACCTGTTCCTTCAATACCAATGAATGATATTTCAATTTCTTACGATCTTTGGTTGACAAAAATAAAAAACCATTAACATTAGAATTTGAGAAAGACAATTCCCCCAATCTCAAATTAAAATTTACATAGGTTAATTACTAATTGAACTTTTGAAAATAATTCTTAAACAGTAATTTTTTTATGAAATTACATTTAGGGATCGAAATTAAATTATAATACAAGTTTGAACAAATATGATATTATTTTAATTCAATATAAGAAATCAATTACTAAATTAAATAAACTAATATAAAGTTAGATTAAAATCATACACAGTTTAACTAAAACCTTAACTCTAATGATTCTAAAACTTTTCCTTGTCATGGTCTTACCGGCTTTAAAATAGAATAGTAACACTTAACAACTCTTAGAATTAAAAATGTAATTTGGATATCTAGAATTTGAATAGAGAAGAGAGGTGAGATTTATGAAAATTAAGATTTAAGTTTTTTGACATAACATAATCTTTTACCTTAATTATTGTATATTACCCATGAAATAAAAACATGGGAGGAATCCACATAAAGTTGAGTAGATGCATAATTAATACTGAAAAAGAATAAAAAGTAAATATATGATTTGAAATAGGAAATAATATAAAATTTGATACTGAAAAAAAGAAATGTGAGTTTCATAATCATCAACGGAAACAATAGATAAGCCGCAGCCGCCAATGGCGGGCCCAATTGTCTTCAACAGGATCAATAGGACAATTACAAGTTGGCCCCAACAGAAAGTCCAAATCATCATCTAGTGCTGGCAATTTGTCCCCAGCCAATCAACCTCACTGCATCATAAAGATTCCATACGCCTGACTGCACCCAATACTTTAAGGTATTACAATTAAATATGATAACGAGTCTTTGTATTAAATTTAATTTGATTTTATATTTATAATATTTAAATTTAATTTGATTTGATATTATATATTTTACACTTAATTTGATTTAACTTTAAATATAAAATATTATTTTTAATAAAAATATAAAATTAAATAAATATATAAATATAAAATTAAATAAATAATTAAAAATTATATATATATATATTAAGTCAGATTGAATCAAATTTACTTAAAATTTCATCTCAATTTGATTTTAACTTTTTCTAACAAATACTCTATTCAACTCAAAACTCAATTTTCAAAACAAAAAAACTAACTTTAAAAAGTAAGATCAAATCAAAACTCATCAAACATAAATTAGACTATCATCCCTAATTGCAATTTTTGTCTTGGTGATTTGTATAAACATTAATCATTAATCATTAAGGCCTTGTTTGATAAGTCATTAAAAATTTTTATGGCATTGAAAATGAAACTTTTCAACATTTTAATTTTTTAATGCATTTGATAATAATTTTTAAAATTAATTTTTTCAAATAAAAGAGTGTTGAATAAGATAAGTAGATATAGACCTACTTATCAGTAGAAAATGTTTAAGTAAAAATTTTTAAAATATTTTAAAATTATTATCCTTTAAAAACACTATTTCATTATTTACAATGAAAATAAAAGTAAAAAGATAAAATGATAAATTTTCAAAATTCAATATTTTCTAGTTATTAAATAATAAATTTATATTCAACATTTAATTTTTTAGTAAAATATAAAATGATTTTTATAATTTAAATTCAATACCTATCAAATTTAGTATTAAAAATTCAGTATTTAATTTTTTAGCACTTAATATTTTAGTTTATCAATCGGAAGCTAAATTTAGGCTTGTTAATTCTAACCCAAAAACCTATTTGAAGTAAAACTCGACTCAACCCAAATTCGAAAATAATCTGAATTGATATGAACCGGAATTAATTCGTGTTTGAATTGACTTGTCGATTTAAATCATGTGTTTTTTTTTTTTTGCTTTTTATTCCTAGGAGCTTCTCTTTTTTGTTCTGTCCTTTTTTTAAAATTATAGATGGTATTTAACATTTATTTTCTTTGGATAGATATCAAATATTATTTTTAAACATATTTATTTTTATGATTTTAAGAAAGCTAAAAAAATCAGACAATTCAATTTTAGTTTTCTCTAACTCGATCATCAAATTTGTAATTCCTCTAATTAATTATAAATAAAATTTCAAAATTATTTTATTGAATTTTACTAGCAATTTAAACTCATTGTACAGTTTGTACATATCTTTCTTGTCAAATGCACATATGTTTAAGTTTTATATTAATTTCAAACCCTAAATATTTTGTGATAAACATTCATTAATTTTTTTAGGGGTTAGTTTTACGATTTAAAAATTCGATATTTAAAAATAAGATCCAAGGTCATGTTAAAAATCTTTCATACTTATAATAGTTTGAGTTTTTTTTTTTTTTTATAAATAATTATTTGCTTTCTTTGATTAGATTTTAATAAAAAATTTTATTTGTTTTTTAAAAAATGTATAAATTGTACATGCAAGCTAACATACGTGTGTGGTAAGATGCAAATATTATGTACATGACAAACCCCAAGAAACTTGTTATTTACAAGTATTTAGAGTCAGTAAAAGCAATTTCCTTATCATTAATTTTGCAATTTGATATTTCCTTTCGGCTAAATATTTTTTTGTCAGGGTGATAACTAATATTCCCAAACACCTCAAAAAAAAAAAAAAAACCTCAATTTGTAATTCTCCCAAAAAAATATTTCAAATGATTGACCTAAAAGGGATTGAATTGCAAAGTTTGCTAAAATCTAGGATAAAATTATTAGAAGTCCAAAAAAAAAAGAAAAAGTTAGATAGATGAATTAAAAAAGTCACGAACAAGGAACATGACAGCCAACCACCGCTCTCTATCGATGCACGATTTTTCTCTTATTATTATTATTTATCCAATCTTTAAAAATTTGATTTAACTCACCAGAAAACCTCAGGCCTTTTCACCGGAATCATTTCAATGAACAAGAATTTGCTCTGAAACAAATTGAAAAAAATTTGAACCTTTTTTGGGCTTTGAAAATTGTGAGTTTTTGGGCTTTAGAAGAAAAGCAGAATGGGCTGTGCTGGATCGACGCCGGCCAAAGGAGACGGTGAGGCTTACCTTTTTCCTTTTTTTTTTTCCTGAATTTTCTGTTTGGTTACTGTGAAAGTGATATGGAAAATTTAAAGCTTGCCTAGAGAACAATGACAACGTATTTGAATTGTTTGAGCTTAAGAAAAATTCACTAAGAAAAATTTTGCGATATTTTCTAAGCAGGTAAAAGGCTGCTGCTTGAATTTAACTTTTTTTTTTAATTTCAAATTTTAGTTTTCTTTTTTTAGTAGTCATTTGCTTTTGGAATGTTTTGTTGATTTAAGTTTTCAATGGCATTTTAGGAGTTGTAACTATATTATTTATTTACTATTACTATTTTTTATTTTGCTTTTACATTTGGAGAAACAATAAATTCATTCATGTGGGACTTTTTTATTATAATCCCAAATGTTGTTTCATCTTCAAAAGAGTTTGTTTGTTTTTTTTTTTTTTTTTGTCCCCAACAGTGAATGTGAAAAAGATCCGGAAGCCTAAACCCTGGAAACATCCTCAGCCGATAACAAAGTCTCAACTTGTGCAGATGCGTGAAGAGTTTTGGGACACTGCTCCTCATTATGGTGGCAGGAAAGGTACTTACCTATAACCACTAATGACTTTGTTATTACAAATCAACTGTTAATTATTCGCAATTTTGACTAACAAATTTTGTTGATCTTGACTTGGCCAAATAAGGAGAAACTATGAAATTGCTTAAACACTGAGTGGATAATCTGATAAAGGAAACTAAAACACCCATATGCATACCTAGTTATGAAGTTGAATCCTTTTTTTGATGGAAAACTGAATCAGACTGAAGCTAGACCAACAACTGTAAATGTGAAATGCTTGTACTTGGATACTCGGATTCATGTAGCAAGGTAGTTTCTTGTTCATAATTTAAATTGTTACATCCCCTGTGCCAAATAAAATTAAGATTGGATTATGTTTGTAATAATACTTAAAGCATGCATTGCATAAATCAACTTAAACCTGAAACTTATAATTGCAGACTAGGCAGCCCAGATTAATTTCAAGTTTTTCTACCCCAAAAGGAAAAGAAAAGAAAAACTGACACAAAGACATGAATGTTGAGCTGGCTTTAGGTTCCCCTTTGCAGTCTTCTTTTGAATGTTGAGAACTAAGGACATTGCTAATAGGAGGCTTTAGGTTTAATTTCTTTATGATGAGAAATTTACATCAGCTTTCAAACAAGCCAACAGTCTATCAAAAACATTAATTCTGAGATGGTTTATCTAAACATTATGGATAACTTAGATTTGATGTTCGATTGGCCAGAGTAAAGTTACTAATGGGAACTAAAGGTATCATTTGATGGTTCACCATGGATGTGACTGTCTAATTAAACTTTGATATTTAGGAGTTTTGGATAACAGTATTAAATCCCACTTAAAATACAAAGGCTGGCTAAGTTGTACTGAGTGAACATATGTTTTATAAGAACAGCTTTTTTAGCTACACTTATTTTAATTAAAATCAGGTCTTACTAAAAGCCTTAAATGATTTTTTGCAAATCACTAGATTAAGCATACAAGCTCACAATACTTAACTTCAGTAGTTGGCATTCTAATGTTTGACTACTGGTTGTCAATGGATATAGAACCAAGGGAGAAAAAGGGAGAAATAGAATTACATGAGAATCAAAGAGGAAGAAGAGCAAGAACTTAGGGGTGAATTAGAAGAAATGGATGAAGGAAAAATGAGAACCAAGGCGGATACCTCAATTCTCAAATCTCAGTAATTCGAAGCTGAATGCCAATAACCAAAAAAAGTATATGTAAGTACAAGGCACACAACTTCAACATAAATCCAAAGTTCGAAATATATCACAGTTAATTAAACTCTAATAAAACTCCAACTTGGTTCTCTATCAAAGATTCTGTGGAAGATTATATTTCTGGCTTGAGGAGGTTTATAAAACTCTTTTTCGTTTACAATATAGAAAAAAAACATGACAGGCTGTACGTCTTCAATTCCCGGAATCAACAAAAAATCTGGTTACTTTGCTTAAATGCAATCTAGTTTTACTGTAGAATAGACCATCAGTTGTAAGTGATTCGAAGTAATTCAACAGGTAATTTCTTGGTAGCCTTCTACTTCCAATATAACTTATTCTCTTGACTCTGCATAAAAGTAAATAATGTGGTTATTCTTTCACGTGGGTCGGAAACTTAATGTTGACTTCCTGGACACCAGAGATCTGGGATGCACTTCGAGCTGCTGGTGAAGCTGATCTAACCCTTGCTCAAGCTATCGTGGACAGTGCAGGGATCATAGTGCAAAATGCTGATTTAACTGTCTGCTATGATGAAAGAGGTAAACAAACTTTGCTGCATCAAATTTTTTGATTATTATTTTAGCCTCCTTTCAATACCATTATGATTCAACCTCCTTGACAACTATCAACTTAGAAAATGCTGCTTTCTAAGCTTGAAATTTCTTCTAACATGCCTTACACCAACTCTTGTTTGCAGGTGCCAAGTATGAACTACCAAAGTATGTTTTGAGTGAGCCAACCAACTTGATCCGAGAAAGTGGAAAATAGAGAGAATGCTGAGTGCAATGTATGCAAGGTTGAATGTAAATCATGTATATTATTCTCTCAATCTTCTTTGAAATCCTTTATAAACTCTGCGCCACTTTTGTGCCTTCTTAACTTGTGACTTTCAACGTTTACTAGGTTGCTCTAAGTTTCTCTGATGAAATGATCAAGGGCATAAACATTGGTTTGAATTGAGCAAGACGTCTTGGTTTTTCTCTGACGAATCTCAACTTGAAGATTTTATATATAATATTTTGGCATAAGAGTAAAAAAAAAGCCCTCAAACAAAAATCAATATTCATTTAAGCTCGTGAAAATTGCAATCAATTAAGTTACGAATTTTTTATTTTGAATCAATTGAATTTTTAAATATTTATTTTTATTTAATTGAATTTATATATATTTATTCAATTAAGCTCTGGATTGGACGAAAGAGTTAATTATTTTTTCTTTAATAAGAGTTCAATTAATAAAATATATATGTTTGAGATTTAATTGATTGAAAAAAATTTAAAAACTTAAATGATTATTGAATTTGAATGCAGAGATTAGTTTTACTCTTTTACCTAATATTTTTTATGATGAGATTTTACCAAAACCCAAGTAGCAAACAAAACGATTTTGATTTTGGTTATCAAAATAAGACTTCATTTGTTTCATTGAAAATAATTTTTGTAAAATAATTTTTGCATTTTTACATATTTATTTTATAAAAATTAATTAGTTAATGAAAAATAATTTATTAGTAACAGAAAATAAGGTAAATTTTTTAAAAATTGTCTTCTTTTTTTCAGAAAGGAAAAACAATTTCTGAAGCAAAACTGTTTTATGAATAAAATTACTTATTAATGTAATTGAGCATAATTTTACTAAGTCAAACCTTGCACATGATTTTTTTTAACTCAAACTTAATTTGATCTAACTCAAAATATTATTATATCAATAAATAATATTTTACTTAAAAAATTAAAATATTAATATTAAAAGCCTTTAATATTTTAATTTTAGATACTTTTATAGTTATACTCGCAAGATTTTGAATATAATATTTTAAGTTTGAAATTGATTGATCGTACTTAAAATATTATTATATTAACAAAAATATTTTATTTAATTTTAATTAAAAATTAAAATATTAACATTAAAAATCTTTTTATATTTCAATTTTAGATATTTTTATTTGTGTATTATTAAACGTAAATATTTTTAGTATTTCAATAATAAATAGTATTATTTATTATTTTAATAATAAATAATAACATATAGAATAATATATTTATTATTTTAATAATTAATGTTAAATAATATAATAATATTATTTTCCTATATATGAAAATTTTTAATAATTTCTTTTTATTTTTTAGTTTAAACTATATAATTTTATATTTTACTTATTATGGTATTTATATTACTATTTTAATAATTAATAAAAATAAAAAATATTTTTGTTATGATTTAATAATAGATACTGTTAATATAAAACATAAATATTTTAATAGTATAAATATTTTAATAATATATATTACTATTTTAATATTAGTAAAAATAATATTTTAAGAGTAGTAATACTGTTTTAGATATTTTAAAATATTAATATAAAGAATAATAAATAGTTTTATTTAAAGTATTTTTATATTAATATATAATATTTTAATATTAAATATTATTATTAAAATATAATTATTCTTAAATATTAATAATTTTAATAATAAATAATTTCAATATACTTTAATAATAAATAATTTTAAATACTTTAATAGTTATATTAATATTATTTGAAAAAATTTTTTAAAAAAAAACAACCTAACAATAAAAAATATTTTTCATTAATTCATGCAAGCAACAAAAAATTTTTACTTTTTTAAAAAATATAAATATTTTTCAAAAAATATTTTTTAAAAATAAATTTCTACAAAATAAACAGAGCCTAAAACTAAAATAACTAGTTGAATCGACAGAATTATGCGTTGGCATAATATCTCATTTTAGAGCATTGCTAAGTTTTGTATAAGTTAATTATATTTTTGGTGCCTAAATTTTGGAAAGTATACAAATTGGTATCTAAAATAAAAAAGTATAATTTGTACCTTAATTTTTCAAGGGACAATAACTCATTTAGTCCTAGAACTTTTATAATTTTTCTAATGTGGTATTTAAATTAAAATTTTTTTTAATCAGATACTGAAACTTCATTTCTATAGATTAAATTACCCAAACTCTTAATACCGTTTGAATAATATTGATATTACACTTAAATATAGACATAGATGACACATGATACCATGTGGTAGAGATGTTGTTGTGATGTCATTTTTAAAAAATAAAAAAATAAAAACTTTTTTTTAGAAATTTTATTTTAATTTTTTTATTTTTTAAAAATAACATGTGATAGCCACAACTCAAACCACATAATAGTCACGTATTATTTACGTCAATATTTAAATACTACATTAGCATTATTATAACATGTTAAAGAGTTGAGATAATTTAATATATGAAAATGAAATTTAGGTATTAATTAAAAATTTTTTTGTTTAGGTATCACACTAGAAAATGTGCAATAGTTCAAGGGATAAATGGAGTATTATCCCAACTTTCTAATAATATATTATTTTAGTTCAAATTCTACTATTGTTAATTTAATTCGTCTATATAGTATCTAATCAATACAATTTTATTATATGTATGTTATTTGTTAAATAAAAGTATTAAATATTTTGTAAAATTTTCATCATGTGGATATCATGCGATAAATAATAATTGATCAATCCTAAACAATTTTTACTGCTTAGGTAAAAAATATATTTTATATCTTTTTTATAGAAAAAATGTTTATAATATATCTTGTGGATACATAATTTGATAACATTTATCAAATATCTTATATATAAATTGATATGATCAGTGAGATTACAATTCATGCTAACATAATATATAATTGGAAAATTAAGAATGCAAATTATACTTTTTATGAAAGTTCAAGATGCAAATTGTATATATATATTTTTTAGATATCAATTTATACAATTTTTTTTTTCAAAACTCAAAATTATAATTAACTCTTTCTGTGTATGTTTGAGATTACGTGTTCTTTTCTTTTCAACACCTTGCTTCTCTGTCCTTTCACTACGTCTTTTATTTCAATTTTTTGTGGCATAAGGGTAAGAATAAGGGTGGTAGAGTTCGAGCTCCCACATTAAATGTTTTAAAGATTTTTTAACCACTAAATCAATAAGCTGAAGACTTACTTTGTCTATTTGGATGGCCTTTTTCCGCAAAATATAAACCAACGGACGGTCTAATTCCTGGGGTGTTGATTTCACAACCCATTAATGTCCTTATAAAGTATATATTTTCTTATGAGTTGGTCTTTGTTTTCTTTCTGCATCAAACAAACTTGAATGGCACTTCCCTGTTTGATATGTATTTGCATGTTTGTGTTTTAACTGTACCTGTTTCTATGTACTTTTGGCTTAGATGAAAATTTTTTTCTTTTAAGAATAAACTATGTTATGATTGTAGATAATATGATTCCCTGGCAACAGTGAGAACCAGTGGGTAAATCTCTCATCATTTGGCCGTTTGACTGAAGAATTTTTTCCGGAAGCTTAATTTTTGTGGAAAGCTATTAGTATCTGTCATTGATTAAGATATGAACCCGTGAAGAATTCGTTGAGGTGCTACTCTTCATTCCAAAAGCCACCAAGATGTGTTTCTTCATGTTAAATCCGTCTTTAAAAGGCTTCTACCAAACTATCCTCGAGTAGGATTTACTTAAAACAGAATCTGCATATTCTCAGAACTAGCAGATGAAGATGCAAATTGAGAAAAACATATATATATATATATCTTCAAAATAATCCATTTTAAATTATACATGAAGATACTTGATGTCTGTTAGAGCAACCTTTGATTAGCTCAAAGCTCATACAAAAAGTGAAGACGCTTTGACATCACTTTGATCAAATCCTTTTGAAGAAAGATAGAATGTTGCCTTGCTTAGGATCCTTTGCATTTCCAGCTTTCTTGTTACCGGCTCTGCCTCCGGGATTAGATGGTGCAGTGCTTCCAACTGCAGGCCTGCAATCAACAATTCAAACAGTTAGGTCACACTGATACCTTAGCTATTAATTTTCCACTAAAAGAGTGAAATGAGATAAAAGATATAGAGAATAGGAACAAAGATAGTCCTCAGCGAAGGCAAGCAATCTCATTGAAAGCATAGCCTAGAAACTATCAATGTTTCAATTGCTTGAACTAGCAAAAGAAAACAAGATGCAGCACAAAAGCACCCAAAATAAATTTATGCATTGCAGTAAGGACCTATATACAACCACCCAACCCCCCTTTCTCCCTCCTTACAATTTAACAGGATCACAATCCACTTCAAGATGTATGTTAACTATGAATTATCCTTAAAAGTTAAAAAATGCAATACAAGCTGTAATTTCATCTTTTTGTTCCGGTAAAGATTGTTACCACTCCCTCGTAGGACCTAGTATTTTAGCAAATAACTGTTGGGATTTATCTTTTTTTGTTCTCATGCCTGGCAGGACGAAAGGAGAAGAAACAAAGAAACAGAGAGATTATATGGAACATCCCAAGTGAGAATCCTCCAACAAAAAAAAAAAAAATCATATTTGGGATGGTGAGTTTCAAATAACTAGGATGCTGACTGAATTACCAAGAATGTACTAATAATAATGTGATAAAGAGGACAGATTATACAAGAATAAAGGAGGCATCTTTCTCTCATTTAGGGGGATTTTCTAAGAAATTACTTTTTACTTAATAATTTTTATTTTTTTCCTTTTCCATTTTTTTCTGAATGCAGCAGAAGAGGATAAGGTATCCTGGAATCACTTCCCGGACCTAGTAACCACTATAACTAAACAGAATGCTTATTAGCAGGCACATACAGTAAAAACCAAACAGCTGCAAGTTTTTCAGACAAGGATGTGTTTCATTAGACATGATAATTATGACAGTGCACTTCTGCTAAAAGAAAAAATGAGAACAAGCAAAAAAATAAAAAAAAAATAAAATGAAGAGAAAATAGCATTAACCAGTTATTAGTATTTGTGACAGTATTGGTCTCAGCATTGGTTGTTCCATTTCCAACTTTCTTTTCCTCTGTCTCCTCCCATTCCCCAACTACCTCATTTAATAATATTAACATGGACAGGAA